ATTCCGTAGACTTTCTTTATCTGGGTATCGATAATTATCGAAGTTCGTCTTACAATTTTTATATTTTTATACGATAAATACTTTTGTAATATAAATGTAATTAGTTAGTAAATAAATACCCAGCGCCTTAACACCGACCAAAAGTTTTCCAGCAAAGAGTACTTCCGGTCTAATTGCAACCGTCTTCGGGTTCTTTATCTCTCAATACCAGAGTCAATGGATTATCAGGACTCTGAATGCCTATTGTTTTCACCATTAAAAGTAGAGGTAATAAAGAAGATTGCCGATAGATGTGCTGCAATCATTTGCTATTGGTTGGTTTATATCTTATGCAGAAAAGCATTGTATCGGTGTAAAATAAATGTTAAAATATCAGTAATTGCACAAGCAACTGTATTTTATACAGCTAGCCTATAAATATTCTTATTTAATACAAGTTAGCTTAAAATAAATGAATAAAAACTAATAATACATAAAATGTATAAAAATTAATTTTACGTAAGCTTTTGTTTTAGTAAATGTTATGTTTAAAAAGCGACATATAAATTCAGTTTATCTAAATAATCTCGAATTTAACGATTTCATTAAATATTAAATGATATACTAGTCGAGTAAATAATACGCATTTAAAAACACATATAGATATTTAAATTACTTTTAAAGATTTTAAATTATTAAGTTCATATTGATTTCAAGTCATTTATTAAAAAGTTTAGACTTTCAAAAATTAAAATTTTATTATCACCTTTTATGAATTATTTAGTTGTTAGCTGTATAAAGTTTATTATTGTACAGTAAATTATTAACATCTTTAACATTTTGAAACATTTCAAGTATTGCTATGTTTACATAACATTTCATTGAATATAAATTGATAATTATTTAAAAATATATTCTGTTTATGATGAGATCGAACATTATGCATCAAACAAAGATGTGATGAAGACGGACTAAATGATTTTTCATCTTTCATTTGATAAACATTTTCAAAATCGAACTGAATAATTGTATTAAAACAATTTTAGGTTTTATATGACTTAATGTGTTTTGCATAAGCTTTATTATAAAAATTTTAATACAGTAATACCCCAAACTTACGTGATAGGTGGGATCAAGTGATAACCGCGTAAGTCGAATTCGCGTAAGTCAAGGTAGAATTTCGCAATTTGCGTAAAATTCAAGTCGGATGTATGTAAGCTAATAAATGTTCTCGTTAATCTTATCTCGTCTTTTGATTCGTTCATGGTTAGAAGAAATCACCACATAGAGTCTCTCAAGTCTTTGTAGATATAACAAACACATCAAGTGAAGTTGGGTATGGGCCCCACTCAGTGGTATAGCCCAAGATCAGAAGCAGAAGGAAGATTAAAGTTGTGTATGAAGAAGTTAGGGTGAAGGGGAAGTACAGGAGATAGGATAGAGGGAAAAAGACCTTAGTCTATGAGACACAAGGGCACGAGAGTGCCCGGCAAGCCAACGATGTAGCCACTGCTCAAAGGGTCACCGTTTTAAAGAATGCATCCAAAAAGATCAGCCTCCCTGTTGTATAAATTGTAAGACATATAACAAAGACTTACAACCCGACAAAAGAATACCAACCAATCACAATGCCTTCGATCCTTACTGTCCGCAAATCCTCAGATTAAAGGAGCAGGCTATCAAAAAGACCAATTATGGATACTAGGCTTATCAAACATAATATAACACTGCTACAAATCAATCTGCAAAGGTCTAAGGCAGCCACAACCGAAGCCCTCCAAACTGCCATTAATCATCAGGCTGACCTACAAGTGGTGCAAGAGCCCTATTGCTTCAAACAGAAGATTGCTCTCTTTGGCAACTACAACACTCTTTACTATACCAACGGTCACAACACCCCTCTCACTGGGGTCATTATAATGAACAAGAACATTGATGCCCAACTTCTGGTCCAACATAGTACCTACTATTACACAACAACACTCATCAATGTTGGTGGCAGTCCGATTATTATCGTCTCTTTCTACTGTGCCCCTTCTGAGGACATCCACATCCCACTGGACTGTTTTCAAACTACTATCCAGCAACTCAACAACCACCCTGTCTTAATTGCCGGGGATTTCAATGCCAAGTCCCCTCTGTGGTTTAGTCCAATAGAGGATCCCAGAGGTTACAAGGTTACTGAGTTTATGAACTTACTGAACTTTCAATCTCAGAACACCAGCACCCTTCCCACCTACTCCTGTACGCTGGTGAGAGCTGGGTGGACCTTTGCCTGGTTAACCGGGCAACCTGCTGGCTCTTAAACTCCTGTTCCACGCTGGCAGAGCACTCTGCTAGTGATCACAGGTACATTAAAAGTATCATAGGCACTCCAAGCTTAAGGAAGAATGTGAAGAATGTGCATATTGTTCAGAAAACTGACTGGGAGCAATTTCAAAGCCACATAAAGCAAAACTGTCATTGTGGCCCCTATCGCTGAAATCACAAACACTGAAGAGCTAACTACCATCATCGACAACCTTCAAAACATTATTCATATTGCTTATCATGCCTCAACCAAAGTTAAAACTGCCAGGCTCTCTGCTCCCTGGTGGACTCAGGAGCTCTCAAACCAGAGAAGGTCTTTAAGGGAAGCCAAGAACAGATACAGAAGAGAGAGGGATCTACACAGAAGAAAAAACCTCAGACAGCATTACCTAACCCTCTTCAGGAACTACAAAACTGCAATTAATCGGACTCGCACCAACTCCTGGCAAGATTTCTGCTCAAGCATAGGTAACTCAAGGCCCTGGTCCACCCCGTACTATATTGCCAGGGGCAAAATCAAGAACACTAGGATCCCTGGTAATCTCAACCAGAACATTAGCAACCTCAGCACCTCCATTTATGACACTTACTCCCAGATACTACAAGACTTATTCCCGACTGATGACCCAACACAGGATAACAACTACTAAGCTAACGTATGCTATCACTGCAATAAAAATTTGTCCACCACAGATGAAGCCCCTTTTACAGCCCAGGAGGTTGCAAGGGAATTCAACTGTCTTAAACTCAGGAAAGAACCAGGCCCAGACTCAATTTCGCCCAAAATGGCCTAAGAAGCCATCCCCACCACTTTCCATCTAGTATTCAACAAGTGCCTCCAGCTAGGCCTTTTCCCCAGCTCATGGAAAGTGGCCGCCATCAAATTGATTCCCAAGTGCAACCAACCAACAAACTCATCAGACTATAGACCCATCTTGCTCTTGCCGGTGATTGGGAAAGTATTGGATGCCCTTTTGGTAAACAGGGTGCAGCACTACTGTGAAGTGGGGAACAAAATCAATACCAGCCAACATGGCTTCAGGAAAGGCAGAAGCACCATCACGGCCTTAGACTCCATTGTGAAGTACATCCGTGAGGCCAAATCAAGAGGGGAGCATACCATGGTGATTATCATAGATTTTCAAGGTGCTTTCGATCACGCATGGTGGCCGGCCATCTTAAAAGCGCTAACTGACGCAGGGTGCCCCAGAAATCTTTTCAATCTCTATAGGAGCTACCTCTCAAACAGGCAGATAATCACTTCCACAGCCAACAATCACTACTGCAAGAAAGATATTACTAGAGGGTGTCCCCAAGGCTCCCGGTTGGGCCCTTTTCTCTGGAACCTCATGTATAATAGCCTGCTGGAGCTCAGCTCCACCTTTTCCACTGAATACAAGTGCAGGATACAAGGTTATGCGGATGACACTATAGTGTCCATCTCGCATAGGAACCAAGAGGTTCTTCAAGACAGGGCCAATGACATTCTAAAGAAAATCTCTCACTGGAGCGCCAACAGGAAACTAAAAATTAAATATGAGAAGTGTGAATGCTTTTTCTTTCCCTGCAACACTCCTCTCCAGAAAGGACCCACTATCAGAATAGACGGAATACGGATTAAAAACAAGAAAGCCATCAAGTACTTTGGCATCATTCTGGACAACAGACTAACATGGAAGGACCATGTCCACTATACCTATGAGAAAGCTATTACAGTCTCTCATTCCCTTTATTCCATTGCCAGGAACCGCTGGGGTTATGGGAGTGAGACTTCTAGGCTCCTTTATACTGCGGTTGTGGAACCAATATTACTCTATGGCGCAGAACTATGGGGAAACTCTGTGGGGAAATCCCACATCAAAAGAAAACTGCAATCGGCCCAGAGATTTTCTGCAATCTCCATCACGAAAGCCTACAAAACCGCCCCAACTGATGCCTTACTCGCCATCGCTAACATCATCCCCATTGATCTTATAGTAAAAGAAAGAGTCTGGAAGTACAATCATTACAAGATGGCAACTCACCAAATCAGTAGGCAGGAATTTGACAACACCACCACAGGAATCGGGGTCTATACAGAAGCAGCTTCCCTTGCCAACCACATCGAGCAGCACAGCCTTGACTACTTACCTCGTCCGTATGCATTCCACCCAAAAACTACTATCGACGCTCAAATTAATCTTCAGGGAAATGACACCTCCCACGGGATCCACATCTTCACAGATGGCTCCAAGTCTGATAAAGGCGTTGGGTGCTCAATGGTGGTCACCTACAACAAAACGAATTTATACCAGGTTCAGTACAAGCTTGGCGAACACTGCACTGCTAACCAAGCAGAGTCACTAGCCATCTTCCATGGCCTACAGTGGACTTTGGACAACATATAACAAACACAGAAGTAAATAACACATCTTTCTTTTGAAATCACTAAAGACGCCCCTTAATCTCCAACGCATTTCTCGTTCGGAAGGAGTGAGAAAAAAGTCCATTTTAGCCCCTCTACACTGGAAGAAAATCGGGAATCCAAATTGAAACTCACTCCTTCCGAATGAGAAAAATAAATAACACAAAATAAATTGTAGCTATGTATCAATTCTGCGCGACACATTCAAACATGTAAGCTGAACAATAGTGTGGGGGGAGTGAGTAATCAAGAGTTGCGTGGCGCTCAAACAAAAGACGAATCGACGAGATTTGAAAATCGTGTAACTCCGGGTTCATGTAAGTCGAGGTATTACTGTATTTACTTTAAAATAAATAAGAAACAGCTTTAAAAATTATTAAGTGAAATGATGATAAATTGTCAATACTGATGGCTTACAAATTAAGTAAAGCTATAAAAATTAAATCTTTAACCTTATCATCGTGTTTAGGCAAAATGTGAAACACACGACCAGGTTTTTCACCAATGACTTCTCTATCTTCACAAAAGCTTCTTCCTACTGCTTCACACACTCCATAAAAGCCTCCAGTAACAAGTGTGAGAAATTTTAATGTTGCTAGTTCCTGACCTATAGCACTAAGATAAGAAATATCAGAATTTTATTGTAAGAAATTTTTAAATTTATGCTTTTATATATTTAAAAAAATAAACACTATAAAATTTTTTATTCTTTTAAAATGATTTTAAGTAAACTGATTTAGGATTCTTAATCATAAGCTTATGTCTGTCTAGTTAAATAAATCACTATCCATTGAAAACAAAACATTTTCTTCAATTCTAATTTAATCTTCAGAAGGTACCTATAAAATAAACAGATTAGTACTAAATAAAAAAATACAAAATTTATAGGCTAAATATTTACTCAAATTAAACTTTTGTTTTAGTAAAAGAAACAACTGTATTATGGTAAGTATTCTCTGATAGTACATTTATGAAAAGCTAGTTTTTTGTGTGTGGTCTCCAAGTATGACAATTAAGATCTTTGATAGTATTTAAATTTTCAATACATATTGATTTCTATAAGTCACCTAATAATTCTTAACCAATAAAATGAGTTTATACTTTCAGAATATTATGAGAGAAATTATAAATAAAACAATTTTTATATTGCTTGATAACAAAGTATTATACAATAAAAGTGAAGAAAGAAAAAGTCTAAAATGAATTATTTTTTCCTGACTTTTAATAAGCAAAAATAAATTTTAAAACCTAATTTTAGTAATCCTTAAAATTTATGAAAATTTAGTTACATATTCTGTAATCACTAAATCAATTATATGATTTAATGTGCATAATCTTGGTGTCACACTTGCAATTAAGCAACATGAGAACAAAATTTTGAATTTAATATTTCTCTCAAAACTTTATCAATTTATATATATTTCATTGCTTGAAGAGTTATTATAATATAGAAATATTTTCATACAGAAAGAAAAAATTATAAAATTTGTTTAAAGATTTTAATGTTGGAAAAAGATTGCTAACATTAAAATTTTAAAACTCAAAATATCATTTAAATAGAATTAAGCATTCATCATATTCATTTTTTTAGTGAATTTTATTTTCCAAAAGCAACTGATATCATAAAAACACTTGAAGAAAAAATCTCAAGTAAAAATTTAGGTTTATTTTAGGTTTTATACATTAAAAATTAAGTCAAATACTAAATAATTATGGAGATTAAAAATGTAAATTTAATACAAAAACTGATTTCAAAAATTTTAAAAACCAAAAGTTTCAGTTATTACTATTATTTTTAAAAGTTAAGATTAATAAACTTTTTATTTAATGTTTCCTTCTTTTTACAAATATTTTTTGTTATGATACCAGTTTTTGGAAATTACAAAATGTATTATAAATAGTAATGTTCATATTACCATTTACAATATCTCACTGTTAATTTCAGAATAAATTAAACTTACTGTTTCTCATTTGCATAAACAATGTGTTTAACTTGTAGCTTTTTCTAGAAATTTCTAAATTGCAAATAAAATTAATAATTAATGATAAGCAAATTAGAATAATTCTAATTTGCCTATCATTAAAATAATTATCAAATAAAAATTTGTTTAAAGAACAATGTTGTCTAATAATTAATTTCCATTTAGCTTAAATTTAGCTTAATTCCAAAATGTGGCAGTCAGATTATTTATTTGATTAAATAGATATAAATGTAAATATTCTCTATAATGTCCATGCTGAGAAATGTCTAATAATCTCTATTCAATTAGGTTTCAAATAAACTTGAGATATTAATAAAATGTATTGAAATGAAATAAAGATAGCAGATCAAAAGAAGAATTTAAAAAATTTCATTTTATTCATATAAATTTTGCAAATCTTAGTGAACTGAAAAAGTAAATTTTAATGTAGTAATTAGATACAGACTCTAGTAATGTTCATATTTGATAAAAACAATTAATAATTAATTAATTAAACACAGCAATAAATAAATAAATATATAAAATATATATAAAAAATAGCAAAAAATTATTTATACGATTAGTCTATATAATATAGGCCTATTACATGCTCATTAAGTAAGAAACTNTATTATAAAATGTATTATAAATAAATAAAACACATTTTGTACTTTCCAAAAACTGGTATCATAACAAAAAATATTTGTAAAAAGAAGGAAACATAAAAGTTAAAAGATTAATAAACATTTAATTTCAAGTACATCTTTTTGCCACCTTTTGCTGATTGGTTTGTGTTCACAAATAATCGTATTACATACAAATCAATGAAATGCCACGATAATTTAAATCAGCATAAATTTTGAGTCTTTTTTAGGCTTCGAGCAGACTGCATTATATCAAATCAGCGTTAAGCGAGGTAGCGTTAAGTGGATTTGATTTAAGTGTATTTGATTTAATTTTTTTAACTTATAAAACCTAAAAGAAAAAAAATTTATTTAAAATTATATAATTATGAAGTTAAGGAAAAAATTTATTTAAACAACCTTTAAACAATAATTTTAATAATTTGTATTTGTATATTTGTGGTAACAAATATTATTATAATTTTCCTTGTTCAAAAGTTAATGCTGAAATTCACCATAACTTGATTTCAGCAATCTTTGCTAATTAATTAATTAACTCCAGACTGAAAAGCTCTTACATTTTCAGATACTAAGTCAGAATATTGTCTGCCTGTGCAATAACTAATCAAAACAACAATGAACAAAATATTGTTACAATTATTTACAAATAGTGTTCCAACTGTTCTATTCTCATTCTGATAATACAAGATCTTAAGTATTGTTTTTATACCTATTTATATTGTTTAATCACTAAAATTCAGTAATAATCTACTAATAAAACATCAGTTACCAATATTACTATATACATAACATAAAATGATATATGCATTATTTCCAAAATTTAGATAAAATCAAATTTATTATTTGATAGTCATTACACTTCTGATGATATTTTTATATAACAAAAAAATGATATACATTAACAGTTAGTAAATCATAAAAATTATTTCTGGGTTACATCATTTAAACCCATTAATTAAAGAATTTAATTTAATTATTTGGTAATAATCTTTTTTATATTACTATTGGTATGAAATAAAAATTAGAGCATTGACATATCAATTTCTTTTTCAATTTATGCAACCTTTTTTAGTTAGATTTTTATGACACTTACTGACAAATATTTTCAGTCTTGGCATTATAAAATTTTGTATTTCCAGTTATATATACAGAAATATGTCCATTCATTTTCAGAAGTAATTGTTTAGCCTAGAGAAAAGTAATATTTTACTTAAATATTTTTACATTTTTGGTTTAGAATAAAACTTTATTTGATAATTCAAGTTTAAATACCATTTGTTGAATTTTCTTATCTTCAGATTTGCAGTTTAATAAAATATTACTTTCAAGTGCTTTTTTAACTTCATTTTGAATGTTTTTCAAAGATTCTTCTTTTAAATACTAAAAAAAACAATAAAAAAGAATTAAAATATATTTTGTTTATATATTATATTCATTTATAAAAAAATATTTACATAATTAAAATATTTTAATAGGAAAAGTTAATGATAATCAATGTTTATGGTTACCATATTGTTAAATATCAAAATGAAATGACAACCAAACAATTCAATGCCCAGATTGTATTCAGTATTGATTAATTGCAATGTAAACAAGAACTCATTAAAGATTAAACTGTTCCAGATGTAATAAAACATAAATTGTATGAACACTTTGAAATCATTAAGATCCCAAAAGAAAATAGGATTAATGATAATACTGGTATGAAACTAAATGAAAACTGGTTACTTTGTTTTGAAAATAAAAAATAGAATAATGTTAGTTTTTCCCCTAAACAACATTGTTAAAGGATTAATTGATGTTATATCCAAAAGTGAAGCTGAATGCAAATGAAGATTGATCTGAAACCAGAATTGAAACTGAAATCAAACCAAAAGTACAAAACAAAACTCAATGCTAAAAATGTAATATCAGAAGTGGAAAATGGAAAGAAGTGAAAGCATTCTTACATTGGTTAACTCTTACTTTGTCTTGTGTGTATCCAGCTGATACATGGCTTTTTTTATTGAATTTCTCAAAAATAAATAACAGTTGAACGCAAGATTTGTAGTAATCTCAACTAATATGTTCTGAAGCGATTCTGACAGTGATTTTTAAGTTTATGACCTTTTTAGAGAAATTTTATGAAAAACAGTAACTAACTATCACCTGTAATAAATTCGCTCACAGTGTGAGAGCACTATACTCTCACAATTGTTATGCAATTCAATAAAAAAAAACAATGTAAAATATTAATCCTTTACTACAATACTATACATTCAAATGTTTTCTCCTGGTTTCAATGACAGAATTAATCCCAATTCATTTCAAATAAGTCATTGCAGCTATTTTTGACAACAAGAATTTCTCGCTTCAGTGTTATTGCCCTGCTGTCTTGCAATCAGAGCATGATAAGAAATTTAATACATTCAATTTTGCAACAATTAAAATTTATATTTATTATGTAGCAATACCACTTAGTAATTGTAACCCAAACATTTATTCAGTAATTTTATCAATATTCTTTTAATTATTAAAACTAAAATTATAGACTTTATTACTGGCAAAACTAATTGTTAAATCTGAAAGAAAACATTCCCGAGTGCAAGAAAACAATTCATTAGTCATTTGATCCACAACTGACAGAGAAGGAAGTTTTTGAAAACGAAGTAATAAAACAATTAACAGTTTGTTGTTGTTCACAGTGGGGGACCAGCAGAGTCTATTACTTTCACAGAAGAAAATAAACAAAGCTTTACTACCCTGAACTTGAAAAATAATGCGATCCTGTGAAATTTAACAAATCTGATGTCAATAAGTAAATGTTGAAATTATTTATAGTGAGATGATATTTGATAAGTTTAGTTTTTTGCATTTACAGATCAAATTACAGAAAATATAAATAAAAATTTCATTTTTTAAACCCATAAGTACAGTGGAACCTCGGTATATGACCTTAATCCGTTCCTGGTGTTTGGACTTATACCGAATAGGACGTATACCAAACCAACCTTTTCCATAAGAAGTAATGTAAAAATGATTAATCCGTTCTCATGTAAAAAAGATGGCTGGCTTTAAACACCTCGCTTTCCTCGCTAGTTTCTGCTTGATTTTTCATGAGATCAGCGTGTATCCTTTTAACTTTCTCGCAAATAATTTCTTCCGATACGCTGTCGCCGGCACACTGTTTTTCAGTTATCCAAAGCAAAAGCAATTTCTCGACATGATCTAATGTCTTCGATCTCTGTTTAGAAATTGATTTAACCCCTTTCGCAACGTTAGCAAATTTAATAATGTCTTTATTTTTCACGATTGTCGATATCGTCGTTCTCGGAATACGGAATGCAACAGTTAAATCTCGAACACGCGTGCCACCTTCATATTTCTCAACAATCTTTTTTTTCAGTTCCGTTGTGATTCTAGTAATTTTTTTATTTTTCTGTTGCCCTTTTGCAATTCATGATTAATAAAAATAATAAAATGTTACTTACAAATTAAAATCAGAAGAAATTTAAGAAAGTTATAAACCGTAGCACCGCGAACGTCTAGTTTAGTGTAGTACACCGATAGTGCTACTTGTTCATAGATAGCGCGTATAATTGAATTAAGTCGTATACCGAACAAAAGTCGTATACCGAGCAAAATTTGTTTCGTCCAAACAGGACGTATTCCGAAATGGACGTATTCTAAAGCAGACATATACCGAGGTTCCACTGTATTTTATACTGTTAGATAGTAGAAAAAATGTAAAAATCAAAGATATAATTATAATCAAGCATATATATCAGTAAAAATATAAAACTTGCATTAATTTGCTTTATGTATCAAGCAGATACAACATGCCAAATGACATCCCAAAACTTGACACACTTGGATGAGAGTTAATAGGAATCCCTAAGGCATCATGCTATGGGTGAAACAAACCAATGACTGGAAAGCACATTTTCTGGATATATTGAACAAGATAGAAAATTGAAACATTTCCACTAGAACATACCACAAAAATGCATATTCTCCTTTATGTATACCATACAACTCACATGATCCTTTTTCATACAAGACAACAGCATTTTGTGCATTGGTTAGAACAGTGGTAGTGAACCTGGTCCCTACTGCCCACTAGTGGACAATTTGAGCTTTAGTGGTGGTCAGTAGGGATTTTGTCCAATGCTGAAGCTACTTTCCATTATCACTGTGCATCTATGACTCACTGATAGAGCAGGTTGTACTATAAACAGTGGCCATCACTCAAGTTAAACTCATTTCATGGTGGGGTCAGCATTGCCAGATTTAGCTACTTTTTTCAGTTTGATGTAAAAAATACACTTGGTGCACTGGCAAAAAAAATTTCTGTGTATTATAAACATATACAAAATATAAATAAAAAGATAAATTTAACTACATATTTTTACTAAACTGCCACCTAAAAATTACAAGTACTTTCAGTTGCACTAAATTAACTTGCTGCAGAACCAGTGGGCAGTTAGTAAATATTTTAGTACCAACAAAGATACAAAAGTGGGAGGCGGTAAGTATAAAAAGGTTGAACCATCCCTGGGGTTAGAAGATCATTCACCCATTGTTTGTCAACAAGAGACAAAGAAGAGGAATGGCAACAAATCACACCAATGACAACACAGCATGATTTTTCACAGGGTCTAATTAAGTTTTTGTTGCAAAAACAGGATAGTTCCAAGGATACATATAATTTGCAGGAAAATAGCTTCATGGTGGTCACATATAATCGTGCACTCTAACATATATAGGGAGATTGCAAAAATTATCAATGTTAGGATTGTTTATAAGAGACCACCTACTATTTTTTTAATAGTCAAAAATGACAAGGACACTGTTGATGGAATATTATGTGATCAAAGGGATCCTGTTACGTGACCAAAGGGTAGACAGATCACTTGTTAATATTTGCACTATAGCCAAAGGTCTAGTGATGAGAATAAAAGATCATCAATATAACATCAAAAAGATGATAGCCACAATGACACCAACTACATATGTGAGGAAAGATGGGATTTGGATCAACTTTTAAGAGGCTGATCTGTTAGACCACACAGCGGACCCAATACAGTTCAAACATCTCAAGATCTTTGAAGCAATTAAAGCAATTAAGGATGACAGAACAATTAATTTTACAGAGATTAACTCTTTTTTTACAGCTTGGCAGGCATTTGTTGAACTGCTGGGAACTATGGTGTATAAGGTCTCAACCAGGGTCTGAAACCTCAACCAAAATTTGTTTTAAAAGATGAAAATTATCTAAATATATAAAATTACATGTCCTGACTGACTGACTGATTCATCATCACCCAGAGCAAACTGCTGAACCTAGAGTGAAACTTGGTACACAGGGTAAGTCATGAAAATGCACACTAAGAAGGGATTTTTGGAAATTCCTCTGCAGGGGGGAAAGGAGAAGATTAAGACTTAACCTGAAGAATGTTTCTACTGTACTATTTTAGATGCAATTTTTTGTTTTTAACTATGATTTAGTAGGGTATGCAATGAGAGTGCACACTAAGAAGAAATTTTTCAAAATTCTCCTGCGGGAGGAAAGGGAGAGGATTAAGTCTTAGCCCCAAAAGGCAGTACCACAAACATGGCTTACAAAGAGTTACTGGAGTAACTAAAACTCTATTTTTCAGTAAATATTTATACTTTACGAATTTTCAGATAACATCATTTTATGTTTCAAAAAAAAAATTGAACTCAGATTTATTGTATCTCAGAATCCCATAATATTTGAAACTTGAATTTAGGTGCATTAGCAGTCCATAGTTTGAAACAAACAAAAATCAGTAATTTTACCAAATTAGTAACAAGTAATGATTTAATCTTAGTGAAGTACCGAGGGAGGGTTATTTCTATCAAATTGCAAAATCCGCAAGAGCAAAACCATAGGTAACAGCTAGTTTTTATATAAAAATGTTCTTGGTCAGTAAAACATTGCAAGAAAACTCATCAATAGCCATGGCAACAAACTAGGGGCCAATCAAAAAATGGGAAAAGGGAGATCATGATCAACCAGAACATCTGATGAGAGATGAAAAAGCTTTTAAAAATTCCAAAACTCAAGAACATGGACTTTTTACACCAAAACAGTCCTATTTTTGATTGAGTGATATGTACAAATTGAAAGAAAGCTGCAAACATCCACCCTCCTGCGAGTCAGTTCCTTCAATTTTTTATATCAGTGCACTATCCATTAAAGACACTAATCCATCAATAAGAATAAGCAATGAGCCTCAGGAACCTTGTACTACCAAGACATCATATACCCAAGAACATCAACATTGCCAAGACTTACTGTATATCCTGTCAAACTAGTTTTAAGAAAAGGAGATCTCCTAAACCTTATAAGATATCTCTTGTACTTTAATAAATGGGTGTTAATTGTAAACTGAGTTCTTGCCTCAGTGTCTAACACCACCACCTACATATATAGTTCAAACCTTCTCACCATCCTGAATTCAACCTTTTCCTTACATAGGGGAGTGTCAACTGCAACATTCAACAATATCAGGTCTATGATAAGATGCCATATCGTTGCACATGTCCATTCTTAAATTTTTAAATTTTGATTTATTTGATCCATTTAAAAAAAATGTTCTTGTTCAGTTTATTTTATAATACCTGACAATGTTCATTGTAAATGAATGAAAAAGTTATGTATCATAAAAGTTTGGTTTTTTTTTGTTGGTATCTTAGTTGTTTCTGTGTTATTTATTTTATCTACATAAATATTTATGAAATACCTCAATAATCTTTACATCTAGTAAGTGTGTAATCCAATTTGGCATATTAAATTCTTCTGTTCTGATAACAATTGTCCATTTTCTATGTTCACAGTAATATACCTAAATAAAGATCAATAAATATTCAATAAATATTTAATACATAATATATTAATATATATTTATAAATATACCTGTTTGATTGATGTCTTGGAAGAACAATATGCTTGCGATAATAGTATTATTACCAAACTTGCTTCATCAGCTTTTTTTTTAAATACTTTTAATTTATTCAATGTTGATATAGGCATTGTAGAATTTTGACTATTTGTAATTTGTGAGAAATTTACTGTTGAAAATATAAAATAAAACAAATATTTTGGATTGTATATTAACTTTCTACAAATTTAAAAATAATAATTTGCCTAATTATATCAGATTATTAACTAACTAAACTAAAAATATTGCTTAATTAAACTAAATTACTAACATAAAGAAGGAACAAATGACTATGCATATACATTAGAAAGAAAAAACTCAAATGTATTGAAGTGATCATAACTAACTACAGTTAGTTATGACTTATTATGTACCAGTTGGTTTATGGATTTCATGTCTTAAAATTTAAAACTTATGTTTATGCTTGGTTTGGTTGAAAAGTTTGCAAGAATATGCAACTGCTGTGTTTGAACTGTCAGAATATTAACAACAAATGTAATAGATCTGAAGATGGAATTGTATAATCCTGATAAATGCTTATCTATTAAATAACTATGACTTCTTCAATAGTTTTAAATTTTTCTTTCTAAATTACTGACTAAAAAATTACTTATGATTCAAAACATTCCAAATTTTTAATTATTTTTTTATAATCAATTAGTAAGCTGATTTTTATTTATTTATTACTATTGATATTTGATAAAGTATCAAAATTTTGTTACAGTTGTTTATAGCCATTCTCAATTCTTTATAAGAAGTCAAACCTATTAAAAACATTTTTACTTCTAATGTTTTTTGTTTTGTAATAACTCTCTTTAGAAACATCATTAAGTAAATAATAGTAAAATCAATGTTAATTCCTACAATTGTATGATTTACAATAATACAAATTAATTTTATCTTGATTCTATTTTAAAATTTTCAAAATAAATTTAAATAATCAGTATTTTTAATATTTCTAAACTTAAGTTGTTCATCTTAAATAATTAATTTAAAAATTGCAGAATTATAGCTGAAGAAATATGACATTATTTCATTTTATATTTTTTTATTTGATATTTACATGTTACGTCAGATAACATCAGATTTCTTGTTGTAATTCTGTCACTTTTTAAATTAATTATTAATATACCTGGGAGCTAGAAGTTATTAACAGATGTAAGCTGTGGAAGTATTTAAAATTAGTCAAAATAAAAAATTCTTTAGTAAGCTAGTTAAACAGAAAGACTATTCTAGAAAATAAAAAATTGTATTCAATTTTTTTTTATTTGTTCTGAAATTAGTGAAATTTTAAGACTGAGTGTATTCTGAAATCAGAATTTTACACTTTAAAAATGTCAAATGAACAAAACAAAAAAAAATTTCTTGTGGATTAAATTTGAGTACATTTTGCAAATTAAACTTATAAGGTAATAACTCTGTCAAATTTTCATTTAATCAGCTTTTTTTACAAAAAGCTGATGATTTTGATAAAATTTCAAATCTTTAAAAATAATACAGTAGTGCCTCATGTAACGTATGCCTCAAATAACAGACGCTGCGAACAACAGACTTTCTATTTGGCCATTACGTGACTTGAACAATGGACTTTCTGCGAACAAGTATGAATGATGTTGCCACTCTTTTGCCGTTGCAATGACAATCTGCTATTTTTATAATATATTAGTATTACTAGAATATATTATCAGTATATCTGAAGTACAAAGCTTCCGTTGGGATTCAGCTTGCTCCCTTGCATTACGTACATCAGTTCAGGGTATTTACATTTATTCAAGTGTTGTGCAAATCATGGCTTCTAAAAAAACAGAAAGGTGATTTCAATTAAAACAAAGCAAGACATCATCAGAAGGAGTGAAAGTTGACAAAAACTTCCTTGTCAAATGTGGATAGGTTCAGGAGTTTACCAACACTCATTATCCAAACAGAGCTGAGGTCAACAGGATCAATGATCTCTATAATGACACCCTTCTGACAGGTGTTGAAGAAGAGAGCAAAACAGACCACCTTGGATATGATTTTCAAGAAGCAAGCTGCCAAATAACAAAGGATGGAACAAGAGGAGTTGACCCTGCAAGCTCCAGTAGCCTCTCCTGAATCTGACTGCAATTAAAAAACAATAAAAAGAGACCTCCTGCAATGTGTAAAAAGTCTGCATCTGTACGAATGTGTGAAGAAAGTGTTCCTCCATGTCCTCCTCACAACATCTGACTACCCGGCATAATTGGTGACTGCTCCATTTTCACTTTTTTTTTATGGTATAGTACGGTTATTTTATGCTGCGGAACAAATTATATGTTTTAACATGTATTTCTATGGGAAAATGCGTTTCGTATAATGGACTTTTCACTTAACAGGCGTGTACCTGGAACAGATTAAGTACATTATACGAGGCACCACTGTATGTCTATATATGCTTTTTTTTTTAATAGAATTCTGTATTATGAAATAAAAGAAATAAATTTGGTATGAATTAGTATGGCTAGTTTAATAATAATCATTAAACTATAACTTGACAAAATAATCATACATAAAAGAATGCAATTATTACTCTTTAGCAATAATATGGAATTACAGACTATTACTTAAAAATTTTTAAAAAATTTAAGAAAATTATTTAAAGTAAACTGTATTTATCTTGTCTATTTTAAAATGCATTTTTTTTCTTAATATTTATATCTTCTAAAATTTGTAAAATTAATAAATATTTTAAATATTCACTTACTTCCATTTTCAAAATTATTTGAGAACTGAAAACTTGATTTTCTTCCCAATTCTGAAGTATTATCAGACTGACTGCTATTGTACACAGGACTGTGACTTCTTCCTAGAAAATGTAAAGATGCTGTAGGAGTAACTGGTGAACTACTTATTGAGCTGCATGAATCATAATCTTTGTCTAAATCATCTGTTGAGCACCAAACTTCAACATTCTTATTTTGTAATCTAGTCCTCAAATCATTTCCCTATAATAATATAGTTTATATATTTAGCTAGTTATAAAATAATTAAATATTAGTTTTAAATTTAACCATTATTATAAAACATTTTACACTGAGTAATAAATATTTGCATTTACAACTCAAAACTTATATTTTCTTGTTATTATGGTCCATTATTATGATCTATCTTGGTATTATGGTCTATACAAATAATAATTAATTTATAATTTTTATTTGTATAGACCATAATCCAAATTATATATAGATTAAATACCAGAATGTACAGGCTATTTTAGATTAAATTTACTAAGGTTTATTTATGAATTTTATACTGAAGATCAAGAGTATCTTGATCTTATGTAATAAATTTAATAATTAGAATTACTTGATGAATAGTTTATAAACATCTGAAAGAAAATATTGAGACAATACATGACTAGAACCTGCAATCCTTGCAGGTTCTAGTCATGTATTCTAGTCATGTATTGGCTCAATCTATACTTATCTATATACAATCTATACTAGCAATCATACTTATCTAACTGCAATCCTTGCAGTTAGATAAGTATGATTGCTAGTATAGTCAACCATCCTTCATTTTGGAGGACAGTCCTCTATTCAACTGCATTGTCCTCCTGTCCTCCTTTTATCAAGAATATCCTCCCTTTAAGTACAGTTTTAATTATTTGTTTAATTTTATTGTAATATTGCTGGCAGATGAGATTCCAATATTTTATTTTCTTATTCTAAAACAATAGTTTTGTTTTTATCACTCACTAGAGTAACAAAGAGAAAGATACTGCTATTAATCAGAGTCAGGCAAACAAATAAACAAAATGTAGGGACTCAATTACTGTGACAATATGTAATGGTTGATAATTATTCTAATAGTGAGTTTAAAATTCCATTTATTGTCTTTTTAATGTTTTATAATTTACAGTTAGTCAGCAAGTATTTATAACAGACTACTTGTTATAAGTGTCCTGTGTTGTACAATGTTTTTGCAATGTCCTCTCTTTTTGTAAAAAGAAAATTAAAAGTTGGAAACCTAATAATGCCAATTATGCTACTAATCCAATATTTGATTCTAAATTTTCATGCTTCTGGCAATAACGATTAGATTGGACATCCAAATAGCCCAAGTTTTAAGTTCTACCCAACTTTTGGAAATTAGAGATTCTAATCTTATATTACATCAATTTTTTCCAGATAATTAATTATACACAGTAACCTATAATACGCATCACCAAACTACAAGCAAGAAATTAAAGTACTTTCTGATGAGTGCTAGATAAATTGAATTAAAGATATGTATTTACATTAATCCAATATCATTATAATAAATTTTTAAAAATTATATATAAATTCAAAAAATTTTATTTTTTACACTAAGAAATATTAAATCTAAAAAGTGATTCACTATTACAAGCAAATTAATAATAATGAATGAATAAACTTTACATTTTTTTATATAAAATTATTATTATATTACATTATATTCATTCTATTCTCATAATTACATGATATTTAATGTCTTATTTAAGACATTAAATATCAAATAACTAAAAAAATTTTGTAATTTTTTACACTTCTGATATAAAAAAAACCACATGAATTTTTTTGGTTATCTGATAATTTCTATATAATTCCTTACACTATTTATAAATAATTTCTGATTAATTTAATAAAAATTTATAATAAAAGTTAATAATGATGTAATATTTAAAAATTTAATAAACATCTAGTTACTTTTATCAACTATTAAATTTAACAATATGTATAAATAGCATTACTTACAATTGATTTTTGATCTGGATGAACACTTATAACAATTAAAGGTACACCATCTTTTGGTTTATTTATGATTGAATACTCTTCAGATATAGGACTGGGATAACTTCTTAGTGAAGGGTTCTAAAATAAATGATCATCATTATTATTAAATAAATTTTTTGACAGAAACATTTTAAAACATAACTACTGTACATTACTAACTTATCAAATTCTCAATTCAAAGCTCACAAATAAAATATAATTAAAACATCTTTTATTAATTCATTATTCTATTAAACAGTATTAAATATTTATGTGAGGATTGTAGGCCCAATTTTTGTGCTAAGTTAAGGAAATTCTTAAGCCCATTTTGCCATTGCAATCATTAAGAAAACATCGCACAAAAATGGATTGAATATCACCTTTACTAGCAACAAATGTTCAAGAATTATAACAATCAAGTGTTAAATTAAACAACATATTGTAAACAGGAGAGATCACATAAGTTTTGAGCCTAATATAATAATAGCAGCTCCATACAACAACATCATAATGTCATCAATGGCTCACCTCTGACAAAACACCTGCAAAATCAACCTTCATTTCCAACAACATCCAATCACCTGATGGGTTTTCCCAGGCTAAACTGAACAAAAAGGAAACTGGAACTCGAGTCAGTGTGGACATTTTCCTAGAGCATAGAAGAGCTCTACCCACCAGTTACCCATCAACTTTACTCAGTGGACACCGGTGGACTGCACCAGATGCCATAGCAAGATGGACATCTTCCAGGGCCATAGAAGATGTCAGCTAGATTTGACGACATTATCCAGGCAAACATCCCTAGATCACCATAGCTAGTTCGACATATCCCAAGACATCATACAGAACATTATTATTCAAAATTATTATTTTATTTTCTTATTCTAAAACTATTGTTTTAGAATAAAAAAATAAAATATTGGAATCAGGGTAGATAAAACCAAGGCTTTGGTGATCATGAGGAGGGATACGTATGAAAAGGGCCTTAGAGAATATATTGATGTCACCAGATGCGTGGAGGCGGAGAACAACGCAATAGACAAGATACAATCTGGGGTTAAACGATTCTCTAACAAAAAGTTAGCCTCAAGATTAGGTATACGGAATATTATCATGGATGCACCTGATACCCCTAAGTTATTTGCATTTGCAAAAACCCACAAACAGGGCCAAAAATTAAGGCCAGTTGTTGATAAGGCCAGAGCACCTACACGCAAATTAGAGGCCTCGTTGCACAACATCATCGCTCCACATTTAGAAGGATACAGATACATGATCTCTAATCCAACGGAGTTAGTGGAGCTACTAAAGGTCACTGAACATCCTACTTATATCACGGTAATGGATTTCCGCACACTATATCCTTCAATCGAGATTCCGCCATGTTTTTGCAGAGCCAGAGACTTACTGTTTAAGATCTTACGCAATGAGGAGTTCCATCAACAGGTGTTAGAGTTGTCCCACCTGATATGTTACAGCTCGATCTTTCAATTCGGAGGAGTTACATACATGCAAGGTAAAGCGGTCCCCATGGGAAGCTCTCTCTCAGGGGACATGTGTGAGCTGGTAATCAGACAATTGGAGAATGCAACACTACCGAATTTCCTTCAAAACATCATAATTTACAAATGATACGTTGATGATATCATCATACTCTGGAGGGGCTGCATGAACATTTCCCAGTTGTTGGACCAAATGAACAACAACCCATATGGACTTACCGTGGAAGTCGAACAACACAGCGATTCATCAGTGCATTTTCTCGATGTGAATATTAATTTTAGTGGACCGATAACACAAACCTCTGTGTATCACAAACCATCAGACCATCCAACATATATTACGGCGGACTCTTGTGACCCTGTCCAATATAAGATGGAGGCGTTTAGAGCCCTCGTTAAAAGAGCCTACCCACACTCTTCTGCGCAAGAGACTTTGGAACACAAACTATAATTCCTGTGTGAAGTGGCTAAGCATCAAGGCTACCACAACGTTGTACAAAAAATGTCACAAAAGTTCGGTGGAATGGTGGACCCTTCTGAAAGGGATAATTCAGTAAATGGCAACCGGAATGTGGATAAACGGACGGTACCTGTTTCTTACAACCCAGTATTAAAATCTTTATATAGTAAAATCGCTCGACAATGTAGTATATCACTATCCTACAGAAGATGCCCTTCTATATTTGATATGTTGCGCAATGGAAAGGATAAATCTGAGGATGAAAGATTGCCAGGTGTATATNTTTTTATTTTTCTGTTGCCCTTTTGCAATTCATGATTAATAAAAATAATAAAATGTTACTTACAAATTAAAATCAGAAGAAATTTAAGAAAGTTATAAACCGTAGCACCGCGAACGTCTAGTTTAGTGTAGTACACCGATAGTGCTACTTGTTCATAGATAGCGCGTATAATTGAATTAAGTCGTATACCGAACAAAAGTCGTATACCGAGCAAAATTTGTTTCGTCCAAACAGGACGTATTCCGAAATGGACGTATTCTAAAGCAGACGTATACCGAGGTTCCACTGTATTTTATACTGTTAGATAGTAGAAAAAATGTAAAAATCAAAGATATAATTATAATCAAGCATATATATCAGTAAAAATATAAAACTTGCATTAATTTGCTTTATGTATCAAGCAGATACAACATGCCAAATGACATCCCAAAACTTGACACACTTGGATGAGAGTTAATAGGAATCCCTAAGGCATCATGCTATGGGTGAAACAAACCAATGACTGGAAAGCACATTTTCTGGATATATTGAACAAGATAGAAAATTGAAACATTTCCACTAGAACATACCACAAAAATGCATATTCTCCTTTATGTATACCATACAACTCACATGATCCTTTTTCATACAAGACAACAGCATTTTGTGCATTGGTTAGAACAGTGGTAGTGAACCTGGTCCCTACTGCCCACTAGTGGACAATTTGAGCTTTAGTGGTGGTCAGTAGGGATTTTGTCCAATGCTGAAGCTACTTTCCATTATCACTGTGCATCTATGACTCACTGATAGAGCAGGTTGTACTATAAACAGTGGCCATCACTCAAGTTAAACTCATTTCATGGTGGGGTCAGCATTGCCAGATTTAGCTACTTTTTTCAGTTTGATGTAAAAAATACACTTGGTGCACTGGCAAAAAAAATTTCTGTGTATTATAAACATATACAAAATATAAATAAAAAGATAAATTTAACTACATATTTTTACTAAACTGCCACCTAAAAATTACAAGTACTTTCAGTTGCACTAAATTAACTTGCTGCAGAACCAGTGGGCAGTTAGTAAATATTTTAGTACCAACAAAGATACAAAAGTGGGAGGCGGTAAGTATAAAAAGGTTGAACCATCCCTGGGGTTAGAAGATCATTCACCCATTGTTTGTCAACAAGAGACAAAGAAGAGGAATGGCAACAAATCACACCAATGACAACACAGCATGATTTTTCACAGGGTCTAATTAAGTTTTTGTTGCAAAAACAGGATAGTTCCAAGGATACATATAATTTGCAGGAAAATAGCTTCATGGTGGTCACATATAATCGTGCACTCTAACATATATAGGGAGATTGCAAAAATTATCAATGTTAGGATTGTTTATAAGAGACCACCTACTATTTTTTTAATAGTCAAAAATGACAAGGACACTATTGATGGAATATTATGTGATCAAAGGGATCCTGTTACGTGACCAAAGGGTAGACAGATCACTTGTTAATATTTGCACTATAGCCAAAGGTCTAGTGATGAGAATAAAAGATCATCAATATAACATCAAAAAGATGATAGCCACAATGACACCAACTACATATGTGAGGAAAGATGGGATTTGGATCAACTTTTAAGAGGCTGATCTGTTAGACCACACAGCGGACCCAATACAGTTCAAACATCTCAAGATCTTTGAAGCAATTAAAGCAATTAAGGATGACAGAACAATTAATTTTACAGAGATTAACTCTTTTTTTACAGCTTGGCAGGCATTTGTTGAACTGCTGGGAACTATGGTGTATAAGGTCTCAACCAGGGTCTGAAACCTCAACCAAAATTTGTTTTAAAAGATGAAAATTATCTAAATATATAAAATTACATGTCCTGACTGACTGACTGATTCATCATCACCCAGAGCAAACTGCTGAACCTAGAGTGAAACTTGGTACACAGGGTAAGTCATGAAAATGCACACTAAGAAGGGATTTTTGGAAATTCCTCTGCAGGGGGGAAAGGAGAAGATTAAGACTTAACCTGAAGAATGTTTCTACTGTACTATTTTAGATGCAATTTTTTGTTTTTAACTATGATTTAGTAGGGTATGCAATGAGAGTGCACACTAAGAAGAAATTTTTCAAAATTCTCCTGCGGGAGGAAAGGGAGAGGATTAAGTCTTAGCCCCAAAAGGCAGTACCACAAACATGGCTTACAAAGAGTTACTGGAGTAACTAAAACTCTATTTTTCAGTAAATATTTATACTTTACGAATTTTCAGATAACATCATTTTATGTTTCAAAAAAAAAATTGAACTCAGATTTATTGTATCTCAGAATCCCATAATATTTGAAACTTGAATTTAGGTGCATTAGCAGTCCATAGTTTGAAACAAACAAAAATCAGTAATTTTACCAAATTAGTAACAAGTAATGATTTAATCTTAGTGAAGTACCGAGGGAGGGTTATTTCTATCAAATTGCAAAATCCGCACGAGCAAAACCATAGGTAACAGCTAGTTTTTATATAAAAATGTTCTTGGTCAGTAAAACATTGCAAGAAAACTCATCAATAGCCATGGCAACAAACTAGGGGCCAATCAAAAAATGGGAAAAGGGAGATCATGATCAACCAGAACATCTGATGAGAGATGAAAAAGCTTTTAAAAATTCCAAAACTCAAGAACATGGACTTTTTACACCAAAACAGTCCTATTTTTGATTGAGTGATATGTACAAATTGAAAGAAAGCTGCAAACATCCACCCTCCTGCGAGTCAGTTCCTTCAATTTTTTATATCAGTGCACTATCCATTAAAGACACTAATCCATCAATAAGAATAAGCAATGAGCCTCAGGAACCTTGTACTACCAAGACATCATATACCCAAGAACATCAACATTGCCAAGACTTACTGTATATCCTGTCAAACTAGTTTTAAGAAAAGGAGATCTCCTAAACCTTATAAGATATCTCTTGTACTTTAATAAATGGGTGTTAATTGTAAACTGAGTTCTTGCCTCAGTGTCTAACACCACCACCTACATATATAGTTCAAACCTTCTCACCATCCTGAATTCAACCTTTTCCTTACATAGGGGAGTGTCAACTGCAACATTCGACAATATCAGGTCTATGATAAGATGCCATATCGTTGCACATGTCCATTCTTAAATTTTTAAATTTTGATTTATTTGATCCATTTAAAAAAAATGTTCTTGTTCAGTTTATTTTATAATACCTGACAATGTTCATTGTAAATGAATGAAAAAGTTATGTATCATAAAAGTTTGGTTTTTTTTTGTTGGTATCTTAGTTGTTTCTGTGTTATTTATTTTATCTACATAAATATTTATGAAATACCTCAATAATCTTTACATCTAGTAAGTGTGTAATCCAATTTGGCATATTAAATTCTTCTGTTCTGATAACAATTGTCCATTTTCTATGTTCACAGTAATATACCTAAATAAAGATCAATAAATATTCAATAAATATTTAATACATAATATATTAATATATATTTATAAATATACCTGTTTGATTGATGTCTTGGAAGAACAATATGCTTGCGATAATAGTATTATTACCAAACTTGCTTCATCAGCTTTTTTTTTAAATACTTTTAATTTATTCAATGTTGATATAGGCATTGTAGAATTTTGACTATTTGTAATTTGTGAGAAATTTACTGTTGAAAATATAAAATAAAACAAATATTTTGGATTGTATATTAACTTTCTACAAATTTAAAAATAATAATTTGCCTAATTATATCAGATTATTAACTAACTAAACTAAAAATATTGCTTAATTAAACTAAATTACTAACATAAAGAAGGAACAAATGACTATGCATATACATTAGAAAGAAAAAACTCAAATGTATTGAAGTGATCATAACTAACTACAGTTAGTTATGACTTATTATGTACCAGTTGGTTTATGGATTTCATGTCTTAAAATTTAAAACTTATGTTTATGCTTGGTTTGGTTGAAAAGTTTGCAAGAATATGCAACTGCTGTGTTTGAACTGTCAGAATATTAACAACAAATGTAATAGATCTGAAGATGGAATTGTATAATCCTGATAAATGCTTATCTATTAAATAACTATGATTTCTTCAATAGTTTTAAATTTTTCTTTCTAAATTACTGACTAAAAAATTACTTATGATTCAAAACATTCCAAATTTTTAATTATTTTTTTATAATCAATTAGTAAGCTGATTTTTATTTATTTATTACTATTGATATTTGATAAAGTATCAAAATTTTGTTACAGTTGTTTATAGCCATTCTCAATTCTTTATAAGAAGTCAAACCTATTAAAAACATTTTTACTTCTAATGTTTTTTGTTTTGTAATAACTCTCTTTAGAAACATCATTAAGTAAATAATAGTAAAATCAATGTTAATTCCTACAATTGTATGATTTACAATAATACAAATTAATTTTATCTTGATTCTATTTTAAAATTTTCAAAATAAATTTAAATAATCAGTATTTTTAATATTTCTAAACTTAAGTTGTTCATCTTAAATAATTAATTTAAAAATTGCAGAATTATAGCTGAAGAAATATGACATTATTTCATTTTATATTTTTTTATTTGATATTTACATGTTACGTCAGATAACATCAGATTTCTTGTTGTAATTCTGTCACTTTTTAAATTAATTATTAATATACCTGGGAGCTAGAAGTTATTAACAGATGTAAGCTGTGGAAGTATTTAAAATTAGTCAAAATAAAAAATTCTTTAGTAAGCTAGTTAAACAGAAAGACTATTCTAGAAAATAAAAAATTGTATTCAATTTTTTTTTATTTGTTCTGAAATTAGTGAAATTTTAAGACTGAGTGTATTCTGAAATCAGAATTTTACACTTTAAAAATGTCAAATGAACAAAACAAAAAAAAATTTCTTGTGGATTAAATTTGAGTACATTTTGCAAATTAAACTTATAAGGTAATAACTCTGTCAAATTTTCATTTAATCAGCTTTTTTTACAAAAAGCTGATGATTTTGATAAAATTTCAAATCTTTAAAAATAATACAGTAGTGCCTCATGTAACGTATGCCTCAAATAACAGACGCTGCGAACAACAGACTTTCTATTTGGCCATTACGTGACTTGAACAATGGACTTTCTGCGAACAAGTATGAATGATGTTGCCACTCTTTTGCCGTTGCAATGACAATCTGCTATTTTTATAATATATTAGTATTACTAGAATATATTATCAGTATATCTGAAGTACAAAGCTTCCGTTGGGATTCAGCTTGCTCCCTTGCATTACGTACATCAGTTCAGGGTATTTACATTTATTCAAGTGTTGTGCAAATCATGGCTTCTAAAAAAACAGAAAGGTGATTTCAATTAAAACAAAGCAAGACATCATCAGAAGGAGTGAAAGTTGACAAAAACTTCCTTGTCAAATGTGGATAGGTTCAGGAGTTTACCAACACTCATTATCCAAACAGAGCTGAGGTCAACAGGATCAATGATCTCTATAATGACACCCTTGCCCGTCATTTCTGACAGGTGTTGAAGAAGAGAGCAAAACAGACCACCTTGGATATGATTTTCAAGAAGCAAGCTGCCAAATAACAAAGGATGGAACAAGAGGAGTTGACCCTGCAAGCTCCAGTAGCCTCTCCTGAATCTGACTGCAATTAAAAAACAATAAAAAGAGACCTCCTGCAATGTGTAAAAAGTCTGTATCTGTACGAATGTGTGAAGAAAGTGTTCCTCCATGTCCTCCTCACAACATCTGACTACCCGGCATAATTGGTGACTGCTCCATTTTCACTTTTTTTTTATGGTATAGTACGGTTATTTTATGCTGCGGAACAAATTATATGTTTTAACATGTATTTCTATGGGAAAATGCGTTTCGTATAATGGACTTTTCACTTAACAGGCGTGTACCTGGAACAGATTTAGTACATTATACGAGGCACCACTGTATGTCTATATATGCTTTTTTTTTTTATAGAATTCTGTATTATGAAATAAAAGAAATAAATTTGGTATGAATTAGTATGGCTAGTTTAATAATAATCATTAAACTATATCTTGACAAAATAATCATACATAAAAGAATGCAATTATTACTCTTTAGCAATAATATGGAATTACAGACTATTACTTAAAAATTTTTAAAAAATTTAAGAAAATTATTTAAAGTAAACTGTATTTATCTTGTCTATTTTAAAATGCATTTTTTTTCTTAATATTTATATCTTCTAAAATTTGTAAAATTAATAAATATTTTAAATATTCACTTACTTCCATTTTCAAAATTATTTGAGAACTGAAAACTTGATTTTCTTCCCAATTCTGAAGTATTATCAGACTGACTGCTATTGTACACAGGACTGTGACTTCTTCCTAGAAAATGTAAAGATGCTGTAGGAGTAACTGGTGAACTACTTATTGAGCTGCATGAATCATAATCTTTGTCTAAATCATCTGTTGAGCACCAAACTTCAACATTCTTATTTTGTAATCTAGTCCTCAAATCATTTCCCTATAATAATATAGTTTATATATTTAGCTAGTTATAAAATAATTAAATATTAGTTTTAAATTTAACCATTATTATAAAACATTTTACACTGAGTAATAAATATTTGCATTTACAACTCAAAACTTATATTTTCTTGTTATTATGGTCCATTATTATGATCTATCTTGGTATTATGGTCTATACAAATAATAATTAATTTATAATTTTTATTTGTATAGACCATAATCCAAATTATATATAGATTAAATACAAGAATGTACAGGCTATTTTAGATTAAATTTACTAAGGTTTATTTATGAATTTTATACTGAAGATCAAGAGTATCTTGATCTTATGTAATAAATTTAATAATTAGAATTACTTGATGAATAGTTTATAAACATCTGAAAGAAAATATTGAGACAATACATGACTAGAACCTGCAATCCTTGCAGGTTCTAGTCATGTATTCTAGTCATGTATTGGCTCAATCTATACTTATCTATATACAATCTATACTAGCAATCATACTTATCTAACTGCAATCCTTGCAGTTAGATAAGTATGATTGCTAGTATAGTCAACCATCCTTCATTTTGGAGGACAGTCCTCTATTCAACTGCATTGTCCTCCTGTCCTCCTTTTATCAAGAATATCCTCCCTTTAAGTACAGTTTTAATTATTTGTTTAATTTTATTGTAATATTGCTGGCAGATGAGATTCCAATATTTTATTTTCTTATTCTAAAACAATAGTTTTGTTTTTATCACTCACTAGAGTAACAAAGAGAAAGATACTGCTATTAATCAGAGTCAGGCAAACAAATAAACAAAATGTAGGGACTCAATTACTGTGACAATATGTAATGGTTGATAATTATTCTAATAGTGAGTTTAAAATTCCATTTATTGTCTTTTTAATGTTTTATAATTTACAGTTAGTCAGCAAGTATTTATAACAGACTACTTGTTATAAGTGTCCTGTGTTGTACAATGTTTTTGCAATGTCCTCTCTTTTTGTAAAAAGAAAATTAAAAGTTGGAAACCTAATAATGCCAATTATGCTACTAATCCAATATTTGATTCTAAATTTTCATGCTTCTGGCAATAACGATTAGATTGGACATCCAAATAGCCCAAGTTTTAAGTTCTACCCAACTTTTGGAAATTAGAGATTCTAATCTTATATTACATCAATTTTTTTCCAGATAATTAATTATACACAGTAACCTATAATACGCATCACCAAACTACAAGCAAGAAATTAAAGTACTTTCTGATGAGTGCTAGATAAATTGAATTAAAGATATGTATTTACATTAATCCAATATCATTATAATAAATTTTTAAAAATTATATATAAATTCAAAAAATTTTATTTTTTACACTAAGAAATATTAAATCTAAAAAGTGATTCACTATTACAAGCAAATTAATAATAATGAATGAATAAACTTTACATTTTTTTATATAAAATTATTATTATATTACATTATATTCATTCTATTCTCATAATTACATGATATTTAATGTCTTATTTAAGACATTAAATATCAAATAACTAAAAAAATTTTGTAATTTTTTACACTTCTGATATAAAAAAAACCACATGAATTTTTTTGGTTATCTGATAATTTCTATATAATTCCTTACACTATTTATAAATAATTTCTGATTAATTTAATAAAAATTTATAATAAAAGTTAATAATGATGTAATATTTAAAAATTTAATAAACATCTAGTTACTTTTATCAACTATTAAATTTAACAATATGTATAAATAGCATTACTTACAATTGATTTTTGATCTGGATGAACACTTATAACAATTAAAGGTACACCATCTTTTGGTTTATTTATGATTGAATACTCTTCAGATATAGGACTGGGATAACTTCTTAGTGAAGGGTTCTAAAATAAATGATCATCATTATTATTAAATAAATTTTTTGACAGAAACATTTTAAAACATAACTACTGTACATTACTAACTTATCAAATTCTCAATTCAAAGCTCACAAATAAAATATAATTAAAACATCTTTTATTAATTCATTATTCTATTAAACAGTATTAAATATTTATGTGAGGATTGTAGGCCCAATTTTTGTGCTAAGTTAAGGAAATTCTTAAGCCCATTTTGCCATTGCAATCATTAAGAAAACATCGCACAAAAATGGATTGAATATCACCTTTACTAGCAACAAATGTTCAAGAATTATAACAATCAAGTGTTAAATTAAACAACATATTGTAAACAGGAGAGATCACATAAGTTTTGAGCCTAATATAATAATAGCAGCTCCATACAACAACATCATAATGTCATCAATGGCTCACCTCTGACAAAACACCTGCAAAATCAACCTTCATTTCCAACAACATCCAATCACCTGATGGGTTTTCCCAGGCTAAACTGAACAAAAAGGAAACTGGAACTCGAGTCAGTGTGGACATTTTCCTAGAGCATAGAAGAGCTCTACCCACCAGTTACCCATCAACTTTACTCAGTGGACACCGGTGGACTGCACCAGATGCCATAGCAAGATGGACATCTTCCAGGGCCATAGAAGATGTCAGCTAGATTTGACGACATTATCCAGGCAAACATCCCTAGATCACCATAGCTAGTTCGACATATCCCAAGACATCATACAGAACATTATTATTCAAAATTATTATTTTATTTTCTTATTCTAAAACTATTGTTTTAGAATAAAAAAATAAAATATTGGAATCAGGGTAGATAAAACCAAGGCTTTGGTGATCATGAGGAGGGATACGTATGAAAAGGGCCTTAGAGAATATATTGATGTCACCAGATGCGTGGAGGCGGAGAACAACGCAATAGACAAGATACAATCTGGGGTTAAACGATTCTCTAACAAAAAGTTAGCCTCAAGATTAGGTATACGGAATATTATCATGGATGCACCTGATACCCCTAAGTTATTTGCATTTGCAAAAACCCACAAACAGGGCCAAAAATTAAGGCCAGTTGTTGATAAGACCAGAGCACCTACACGCAAATTAGAGGCATCGTTGCACAACATCATCGCTCCACATTTAGAAGGATACAGATACATGATCTCTAATCCAACGGAGTTAGTGGAGCTACTAAAGGTCACTGAACATCCTACTTATATCACGGTAATGGATTTCCGCACACTATATCCTTCAATCGAGATTCCGCCATGTTTTTGCAGAGCCAGAGACTTACTGTTTAAGATCTTACGCAATGAGGAGTTCCATCAACAGGTGTTAGAGTTGTCCCACCTGATATGTTACAGCTCGATCTTTCAATTCGGAGGAGTTACATACATGCAAGGTAAAGCGGTCCCCATGGGAAGCTCTCTCTCAGGGGACATGTGTGAGCTGGTAATCAGACAATTGGAGAATGCAACACTACCGAATTTCCTTCAAAACATCATAATTTACAAATGATACGTTGATGATATCATCATACTCTGGAGGGGCTGCATGAACATTTCCCAGTTGTTGGACCAAATGAACAACAACCCATATGGACTTACCGTGGAAGTCGAACAACACAGCGATTCATCAGTGCATTTTCTCGATGTGAATATTAATTTTAGTGGACCGATAACACAAACCTCTGTGTATCACAAACCATCAGACCATCCAACATATATTACGGCGGACTCTTGTGACCCTGTCCAATATAAGATGGAGGCGTTTAGAGCCCTCGTTAAAAGAGCCTACCCACACTCTTCTGCGCAAGAGACTTTGGAACACAAACTATAATTCCTGTGTGAAGTGGCTAAGCATCAAGGCTACCACAACGTTGTACAAAAAATGTCACAAAAGTTCGGTGGAATGGTGGACCCTTCTGAAAGGGATAATTCAGTAAATGGCAACCGGAATGTGGATAAACGGACGGTACCTGTTTCTTACAACCCAGTATTAAAATCTTTATATAGTAAAATCGCTCGACAATGTAGTATATCACTATCCTACAGAAGATGCCCTTCTATATTTGATATGTTGCGCAATGGAAAGGATAAATCTGAGGATGAAAGATTGCCAGGTGTATATAAAGTACCACTTAGGGACCACCGTTTTGACAGGGACTTAGTATACATAGGCTCAACGAAATGAGCAGTTGGGATCAGGTGGAAGGAACACATCCGTGACATTCGACTTAATAAATGTTCCACACCCTTATCCACTTACGCGTCTGATCCAGAGATCGTAGCAGACTTCTCAAATGCCAAGTTAATCACCACCACCCCATATGCAGACCATCTCAAGTGGTTAGAGCAGATAGAGATATACAGGGCATACAACGATTCATCACCCATTAATTCCAGGGATGAAATCTCTCTATCTTTGGCTTGGCAAGCCCTAATGCAACAGGAAGATTAAGGAAGTCGTAAACTTAAGCAAGGAGGACGAAAGGGTAGACAGTATGCATATAATGTGTTTTTTGCTTAACATCAAAGATCTTACAACAGTAATTATATAAAAAATAAAAAGAAAAATATTTTCAATTGCCTCCGCTATGACGTGGAAACTTTTACGTTCAAGAATATGGAACACGTGATGCCGTTCTATCGTTCGATGTTTTGAAAAATTCTTTCAAAACGAATGGTTAGTTTGACGATTTTTACCTGAAGAAGGACCCAGAAGGGGTCTGAAAACGTTAGTAATGTTAAATTTATTCACATCGGTTAAAGGTTTCGGAGGTACGTAATATCTATATCTGTAGTATGTGAATAAAAGTCATAGCTATGCTTCTATTAATAATACATATTTCTAAGTTATAATTATTTGTTACTTTGACTTTAAATTAAATAATTATTATTTCAAAGAACTAGTATATGTCATCAAATAATAATACAATTGCCTGCTCATTAGTAGAGAATTGATATTTAGGAAGTCCTATGTATATTATTGTATTTTCTTTATTATTATTTAAATAATAATATTAAAATTTAACTTAATCTAATAGTTTTAATTTCATATCTATTATTTATAAATATATTATTATGTTGGGTTTTGTGAGTTATACTCGGTTCACACCGGTGGCTGTGTACTACACCAGACCAAAGTCAAGGCATAGCAACCAAAACAAAACTAAAATTAAAGAAGTGTGTCAGTGTATGTGTCTGTATTCAGGAATTATTATTATATTCAGGATATATTATTATTATTATTCCTTGTATTAATAATAGCATTGATTCTGTTTTACAAAATCAAATTTTCAATAATTATATTAGCAGTTTACTTCTTAGTGAGAGGAATCCAACTTTTTTTCAAACTTGGTTACTTATTTTTGTTTAGTTATGTTTATTTTGGGGATTCTGTTTAGTTACATTGACTGCATCACACTCCAGATCAGTAAAACAAAATTCAAAAACATCTTAGTGGTCAACATGTTGATATGAAGAATGCTCTGAAATCTGGCAGAATAAATAACTTTGACACAAACCAAAAAAGACTACAGAACTCATTTTTCATTACTACATAAATGTTACAAGATTTGTCAGGACTAGAGTTATGAGACACAAGTTAAGCATATGTCCATGGGACTATGTAAATGAGATAGATGGAGGTTGTGATGTTGTTATACTAAATACATGTAAACTGATGGGAGCAAGGTAAAGTTGAGGCGAGGTTTGTGCTTGTGGTTGTAGATGAATTTGAATATTTAAGATTGGTTGTTTGGAACTGCTCTGGTGTATACAAATTGTTTTGCTATTATTATATTGTTGATTAATCATAGAATTACTAAAACTAATACATTGTTTAATTAATTATTCTATTGCAATCATTTAATAATAGCCCTTTTGTATTTATTAAAGTCCATTAACTTTACAGTGTTGTTTATTAATTCTGATGTACATAGTATTTTTCTTATAATTTTTGCTTGGTTTGGTCATTACCACTGAGAGGTCAGATCTGTCCCTCTCACTGACCCTGTCAGAGTTTGATCTCCAAAAAGCCAAACTTTACATGGAAAAATTCATGGAAAAGCCAAACTTTACAGTAAGATACTATTAAGAAACTAGCTGTTAATATAATTATTGAAAGAAGCTGAAATAAAAACAATCAAAACTATTGTCAAAAAAATGTTAACTATGCATAGATTATTACTTATTTCAATTAAGATATTATATATAACAGGGCTTCTTAAACTATGGGTCGCAATCCCATTTGGGGTTGCTTAGTGAAATCTTGGGGTAGCGAGATTTTAATGCAAAATGTTGAAAATAATTTGTGAGTTTGAAAATGGCACGCTTTGTGTCACTTCTGGTGCAGCGAGACAACAATTCAGCAACACTGATTGTAGTGTAAACTAGTGTAGTGTTGTCGCTTTTCAGTGTATTCAGTTGTCTCCATTCCATTGTAACACAAGAATGAACTGTGGTAGTACACCATTATTGTTTTTGGAAATTTGTATATATCTTCATTTTATATTTTTCAGGTCGCAAAAAAAATCACAATCATAAATGGGGTCGTGAATAAAAAGAGTTTAAGAAGTCCTGATATATAACAACTTTGGCTAACAAGNAGCTGAAGAAATATGACATTATTTCATTTTATATTTTTTTATTTGATATTTACATGTTACGTCAGATAACATCAGATTTCTTGTTGTAATTCTGTCACTTTTTAAATTAATTATTAATATACCTGGGAGCTAGAAGTTATTAACAGATGTAAGCTGTGGAAGTATTTAAAATTAGTCAAAATAAAAAATTCTTTAGTAAGCTAGTTAAACAGAAAGACTATTCTAGAAAATAAAAATTGTATTCAATTTTTTTTTATTTGTTCTGAAATTAGTGAAATTTTAAGACTGAGTGTATTCTGAAATCAGAATTTTACACTTTAAAAATGTCAAATGAACAAAACAAAAAAAAATTTCTTGTGGATTAAATTTGAGTACATTTTGCAAATTAAACTTATAAGGTAATAACTCTGTCAAATTTTCATTTAATCAGCTTTTTTTACAAAAAGCTGATGATTTTGATAAAATTTCAAATCTTTAAAAATAATACAGTAGTGCCTCATGTAATGTATGCCTCAAATAACAGACGCTGCGAACAACAGACTTTCTATTTGGCCATTACGTGACTTGAACAATGGACTTTCTGCGAACAAGTATGAATGATGTTGCCACTCTTTTGCCGTTGCAATGACAATCTGCTATTTTTATAATATATTAGTATTACTAGAATATATTATCAGTATATCTGAAGTACAAAGCTTCCGTTGGGATTCAGCTTGCTCCCTTGCATTACGTACATCAGTTCAGGGTATTTACATTTATTCAAGTGTTGTGCAAATCATGGCTTCTAAAAAAACAGAAAGGTGATTTCAATTAAAACAAAGCAAGACATCATCAGAAGGAGTGAAAGTTGACAAAAACTTCCTTGTCAAATGTGGATAGGTTCAGGAGTTTACCAACACTCATTATCCAAACAGAGCTGAGGTCAACAGGATCAATGATCTCTATAATGACACCCTTGCCCGTCATTTCTGACAGGTGTTGAAGAAGAGAGCAAAACAGACCACCTTGGATATGATTTTCAAGAAGCAAGCTGCCAAATAACAAAGGATGGAACAAGAGGAGTTGACCCTGCAAGCTCCAGTAGCCTCTCCTGAATCTGACTGCAATTAAAAAACAATAAAAAGAGACCTCCTGCAATGTGTAAAAAGTCTGCATCTGTACGAATGTGTGAAGAAAGTGTTCCTCCATGTCCTCCTCACAACATCTGACTACCCGGCATAATTGGTGACTGCTCCATTTTCACTTTTTTTTTATGGTATAGTACGGTTATTTTATGCTGCGGAACAAATTATATGTTTTAACATGTATTTCTATGGGAAAATGCGTTTCGTATAATGGACTTTTCACTTAACAGGCGTGTACCTGGAACAGATTAAGTACATTATACGAGGCACCACTGTATGTCTATATATGCTTTTTTTTTTAATAGAATTCTGTATTATGAAATAAAAGAAATAAATTTGGTATGAATTAGTATGGCTAGTTTAATAATAATCATTAAACTATAACTTGACAAAATAATCATACATAAAAGAATGCAATTATTACTCTTTAGCAATAATATGGAATTACAGACTATTACTTAAAAATTTTTAAAAAATTTAAGAAAATTATTTAAAGTAAACTGTATTTATCTTGTCTATTTTAAAATGCATTTTTTTTCTTAATATTTATATCTTCTAAAATTTGTAAAATTAATAAATATTTTAAATATTCACTTACTTCCATTTTCAAAATTATTTGAGAACTGAAAACTTGATTTTCTTCCCAATTCTGAAGTATTATCAGACTGACTGCTATTGTACACAGGACTGTGACTTCTTCCTAGAAAATGTAAAGATGCTGTAGGAGTAACTGGTGAACTACTTATTGAGCTGCATGAATCATAATCTTTGTCTAAATCATCTGTTGAGCACCAAACTTCAACATTCTTATTTTGTAATCTAGTCCTCAAATCATTTCCCTATAATAATATAGTTTATATATTTAGCTAGTTATAAAATAATTAAATATTAGTTTTAAATTTAACCATTATTATAAAACATTTTACACTGAGTAATAAATATTTGCATTTACAACTCAAAACTTATATTTTCTTGTTATTATGGTCCATTATTATGATCTATCTTGGTATTATGGTCTATACAAATAATAATTAATTTATAATTTTTATTTGTATAGACCATAATCCAAATTATATATAGATTAAATACAAGAATGTACAGGCTATTTTAGATTAAATTTACTAAGGTTTATTTATGAATTTTATACTGAAGATCAAGAGTATCTTGATCTTATGTAATAAATTTAATAATTAGAATTACTTGATGAATAGTTTATAAACATCTGAAAGAAAATATTGAGACAATACATGACTAGAACCTGCAATCCTTGCAGGTTCTAGTCATGTATTCTAGTCATGTATTGGCTCAATCTATACTTATCTATATACAATCTATACTAGCAATCATACTTATCTAACTGCAATCCTTGCAGTTAGATAAGTATGATTGCTAGTATAGTCAACCATCCTTCATTTTGGAGGACAGTCCTCTATTCAACTGCATTGTCCTCCTGTCCTCCTTTTATCAAGAATATCCTCCCTTTAAGTACAGTTTTAATTATTTGTTTAATTTTATTGTAATATTGCTGGCAGATGAGATTCCAATATTTTATTTTCTTATTCTAAAACAATAGTTTTGTTTTTATCACTCACTAGAGTAACAAAGAGAAAGATACTGCTATTAATCAGAGTCAGGCAAACAAATAAACAAAATGTAGGGACTCAATTACTGTGACAATATGTAATGGTTGATAATTATTCTAATAGTGAGTTTAAAATTCCATTTATTGTCTTTTTAATGTTTTATAATTTACAGTTAGTCAGCAAGTATTTATAACAGACTACTTGTTATAAGTGTCCTGTGTTGTACAATGTTTTTGCAATGTCCTCTCTTTTTGTAAAAAGAAAATTAAAAGTTGGAAACCTAATAATGCCAATTATGCTACTAATCCAATATTTGATTCTAAATTTTCATGCTTCTGGCAATAACGATTAGATTGGACATCCAAATAGCCCAAGTTTTAAGTTCTACCCAACTTTTGGAAATTAGAGATTCTAATCTTATATTACATCAATTTTTTTCCAGATAATTAATTATACACAGTAACCTATAATACGCATCACCAAACTACAAGCAAGAAATTAAAGTACTTTCTGATGAGTGCTAGATAAATTGAATTAAAGATATGTATTTACATTAATCCAATATCATTATAATAAATTTTTAAAAATTATATATAAATTCAAAAAATTTTATTTTTTACACTAAGAAATATTAAATCTAAAAAGTGATTCACTATTACAAGCAAATTAATAATAATGAATGAATAAACTTTACATTTTTTTATATAAAATTATTATTATATTACATTATATTCATTCTATTCTCATAATTACATGATATTTAATGTCTTATTTAAGACATTAAATATCAAATAACTAAAAAAATTTTGTAATTTTTTACACTTCTGATATAAAAAAAACCACATGAATTTTTTTGGTTATCTGATAATTTCTATATAATTCCTTACACTATTTATAAATAATTTCTGATTAATTTAATAAAAATTTATAATAAAAGTTAATAATGATGTAATATTTAAAAATTTAATAAACATCTAGTTACTTTTATCAACTATTAAATTTAACAATATGTATAAATAGCATTACTTACAATTGATTTTTGATCTGGATGAACACTTATAACAATTAAAGGTACACCATCTTTTGGTTTATTTATGATTGAATACTCTTCAGATATAGGACTGGGATAACTTCTTAGTGAAGGGTTCTAAAATAAATGATCATCATTATTATTAAATAAATTTTTTGACAGAAACATTTTAAAACATAACTACTGTACATTACTAACTTATCAAATTCTCAATTCAAAGCTCACAAATAAAATATAATTAAAACATCTTTTATTAATTCATTATTCTATTAAACAGTATTAAATATTTATGTGAGGATTGTAGGCCCAATTTTTGTGCTAAGTTAAGGAAATTCTTAAGCCCATTTTGCCATTGCAATCATTAAGAAAACATCGCACAAAAATGGATTGAATATCACCTTTACTAGCAACAAATGTTCAAGAATTATAACAATCAAGTGTTAAATTAAACAACATATTGTAAACAGGAGAGATCACATAAGTTTTGAGCCTAATATAATAATAGCAGCTCCATACAACAACATCATAATGTCATCAATGGCTCACCTCTGACAAAACACCTGCAAAATCAACCTTCATTTCCAACAACATCCAATCACCTGATGGGTTTTCCCAGGCTAAACTGAACAAAAAGGAAACTGGAACTCGAGTCAGTGTGGACATTTTCCTAGAGCATAGAAGAGCTCTACCCACCAGTTACCCATCAACTTTACTCAGTGGACACCGGTGGACTGCACCAGATGCCATAGCAAGATGGACATCTTCCAGGGCCATAGAAGATGTCAGCTAGATTTGACGACATTATCCAGGCAAACATCCCTAGATCACCATAGCTAGTTCGACATATCCCAAGACATCATACAGAACATTATTATTCAAAATTATTATTTTATTTTCTTATTCTAAAACTATTGTTTTAGAATAAAAAAATAAAATATTGGAATCAGGGTAGATAAAACCAAGGCTTTGGTGATCATGAGGAGGGATACGTATGAAAAGGGCCTTAGAGAATATATTGATGTCACCAGATGCGTGGAGGCGGAGAACAACGCAATAGACAAGATACAATCTGGGGTTAAACGATTCTCTAACAAAAAGTTAGCCTCAAGATTAGGTATACGGAATATTATCATGGATGCACCTGATACCCCTAAGTTATTTGCATTTGCAAAAACCCACAAACAGGGCCAAAAATTAAGGCCGGTTGTTGATAAGGCCAGAGCACCTACACGCAAATTAGAGGCCTCGTTGCACAACATCATCGCTCCTCATTTAGAAGGATACAGATACACAATCTTGAATCCAATGGAGTNAAAGTAGATGTCATCATTTAATGAAATCTACTTTTACAAAAATCTGTTAGTTATGATAATATATGAAAATAAGAAAGATATATAGATCTTCCAATATTTTTACAAAACATAAAATTTGCAATATAAAATTTAAAACTTTTGTTTTAAATTTTATATTGCAATACAACATTCATATTAAAAATTTGAAAAATATAAAATTTTTCAATGCTCTGGAAGATTGTCAAGGAAGTCAACCATCTTTGACTATTACATATAAATTTAATTCAAATATTATTTGGTGAAACTTAAATATTTGAATTAAGTTTGACATTTATAATAATTAATTCAAATTTAATTTTTTGAAATTATTTTTTAATTTAAGCAATTTAATTTAAGGTTTTTTGGTGTTATTTAATTTAATTTAAAAATAATTTAAGCATTTACTTTATTTATGATTAAATTAATTAAATAATTTTTGTCAATATATAATATTATTGAATTGAAAAAATGATTTATTGAATTGTTTAATGCCCTTATTTATGTTTTATATTTATTAAAAAAGAATATTTGCAATTATTTACTGAAATAAGAGATTTTCATTTGAATAAATAAATTTTCTTTAAAACAAATTCACTTTCATAATCTATTAGAACCATATGATCAAATGTTGATTAAAAATATTACATAATATAATATATTCTGAAGAAACGTAAATTTAAAAAGTTTATTTAAATAATTTTACATGTATCATAATATTAGATTTATTTATAGGCTATATTTATATATATTTTTGATGAATTGGCATAATTTTCTTAAAGAATTTAATAAAATATGGAAGCTGCCTAATAACAGTTATTCTAATTCTGACAGAAAACTTTAAAGAATAATATTTAAATAAATTTATGAATAACAATAAAATCAAAAGTACAAAATTTATTTTAATTTTCTTGTTATTCCTTTAATGTACCTTTTTCATACTAAATAAAAAATGAATAAGGTATTTATTTAACATGTCTTTCTCATACTATACAGGAACACAAACAGTAGAGCAGAGACAAATCTTTCCACTAGTGTTTAATTGTATTCTTTTAGTATAGAGATCAATCAAAAAGTAATGTACAACCTGGCAACAATCACACATAAATGATATAATCATTCCCATTTTTTGCGTAGTTATGATTAGGAATAAGACAAACACATCTGTTCCAATAAAGATAGTTTGGGTACTTCACATGTGATGATCAGCTGTTGTCCATCAAAAAATGAAACATTTCATGGACAAACATTGACAGAGATTTATGCAGCATTTACTGAAGTTTGTTCTGCTAATATTATTTCTCATTTTTAGAAATAACAAAGTAGTTTATGTTGATAAACAGTCTTGTAATCAATATGTTTTGGGAATGTTAAAAAATGAAAAATAATTCAAACTTTTACCACCAGAAATTAAATGCATTGATTGCTTTACGAAATGTAATAAGCACACATTTATGTATGTTTCTAGCTTACTTAGAAACAATTTATGCACACACTGCATTTTATATACAGTATTAAAGAGAATGTCAAGAAATTTTTTATAAGAGCAAATTATTAAATTCTATTTTTTACGCATCTGCAAAAATCACTTAAACATCAATAAATTTGTGAAAATAATAGTAACAATCTAAACATCACAAAACCCAATAAATTTGTAAAGTCAAACAATCACCAGATTAAATCAGGTTAATTTTCTGCAATTATATTTAATTAATTACTAAATAATTTGTCATTAGAAGGTGGTGTTAGGTGCCACCTCTTATTAAATTTAATAATTATAATTAAATTAATATTTATTAAATAATTTAAAGTATTCTGGAAGAAAAGAATTGGCCTGGAGCAGGACTCATACCTGCAACTCCCACTTACCACGTGTGGATGCATTGCCAATTATGCTATTTGAGCTTCCAGTCCAATCTCTGGTTCCAGACATATTTAAATATGATAAAACCATCTTCAGTTATTTACAGTGCCAACTGGAGACACCTTCAGCACCCTCATCCTATAAACTCCTACCCACATATAATTTTATAAATGTAACAAGAATACTGATGGATATATAATTTTGTATCAACTGGATAGATTATAATCAAAGTACATCTTTAAAAAATCCAGCAATGAAATTTAATAAATATTGATCAAAAACATTATTATTTATTAAATTTCATTGCTGGATTTTTAAAGGTTCCTTTTTTTTTCTTTTTGAATACTAATGGTCAAAATCACTTTATAAAATGACTGTTAAAGCAATCTTTTCATAAAAAGTTAACTGTATTATATAATGAATTTAGAAAAGTAGATGTCATCATTTAATGAAATCTACTTTTACAAAAATCTGTTAGTTATGATAATATATGAAAATAAGAAAGATATATAGATCTTCCAATATTTTTACAAAACATAAAATTTGCAATATAAAATTTAAAACTTTTGTTTTAAATTTTATATTGCAATACAACATTCATATTAAAAATTTGAAAAATATAAAATTTTTCAATGCTCTGGAAGATTGTCAAGGAAGTCAACCATCTTTGACTATTACATATAAATTTAATTCAAATATTATTTGGTGAAACTTAAATATTTGAATTAAGTTTGACATTTATAATAATTAATTCAAATTTAATTTTTTGAAATTATTTTTTAATTTAAGCAATTTAATTTAAGGTTTTTTGGTGTTATTTAATTTAATTTAAAAATAATTTAAGCATTTACTTTATTTATGATTAAATTAATTAAATAATTTTTGTCAATATATAATATTATTGAATTGAAAAAATGATTTATTGAATTGTTTAATGCCCTTATTTATGTTTTATATTTATTAAAAAAGAATATTTGCAATTATTTACTGAAATAAGAGATTTTCATTTGAATAAATAAATTTTCTTTAAAACAAATTCACTTTCATAATCTATTAGAACCATATGATCAAATGTTGATTAAAAATATTACATAATATAATATATTCTGAAGAAACGTAAATTTAAAAAGTTTATTTAAATAATTTTACATGTATCATAATATTAGATTTATTTATAGGCTATATTTATATATATTTTTGATGAATTGGCATAATTTTCTTAAAGAATTTAATAAAATATGGAAGCTGCCTAATAACAGTTATTCTAATTCTGACAGAAAACTTTAAAGAATAATATTTAAATAAATTTATGAATAACAATAAAATCAAAAGTACAAAATTTATTTTAATTTTCTTGTTATTCCTTTAATGTACCTTTTTCATACTAAATAAAAAATGAATAAGGTATTTATTTAACATGTCTTTCTCATACTATACAGGAACACAAACAGTAGAGCAGAGACAAATCTTTCCACTAGTGTTTAATTGTATTCTTTTAGTATAGAGATCAATCAAAAAGTAATGTACAACCTGGCAACAATCACACATAAATGATATAATCATTCCCATTTTTTGCGTAGTTATGATTAGGAATAAGACAAACACATCTGTTCCAATAAAGATAGTTTGGGTACTTCACATGTGATGATCAGCTGTTGTCCATCAAAAAATGAAACATTTCATGGACAAACATTGACAGAGATTTATGCAGCATTTACTGAAGTTTGTTCTGCCATAGATTGAAATACAGTGTCTTGATAGGCATCTGATTTTCATCAAGGTTACCATAGCATTCATAAAACCTGAAGTTGGGATGACTGAAGACAATTCTGGACAAGCATACAGTAGAATGTGTCATCAGTTTCTTGATAGGAATCATCACAAGGGATGCAATGATATTGCAGCAGCAACTGGAATATTAAACAATTCTGTCTTTACAATTTTGATGGAGGTTTTGGAAAAATGCAAGATATTACCCAGATGGGTTCCTCATCACCTGATTGAAGCAGAAAAACTCAGCTGGATATAGTTATTGTAATGCTATTGTTGAGACAGTTTACTGATAAAAGAAATGATTTTCTTGAACAAATTGACAAATTCTGGACTAGAGATTTGAACCTGAATTGGAATCTCAGTCTGAAAGTGGTGGAGCCCATCTGCCAAACTGAAGTTTGGAGGGTATAGTAAAAAAAAATGATGATCTGTGCATACAGTCATGTTAGTGTCATCATCATAAATAGAATGCCTATCAGCTCAATTGTCACAATCTAGTATTATTGGAAATTTATTCATAGATCAATCTCATACCTTCTTTATGTCTTCCAGTCAAATGTTTTCACCTCATTTACAGACCTGCTTCAGGTTCTACACATTCAAACTGAACAGTTTACTGAGTTTTATTCAGGAAATGCACAGAAACATGACCAGCCACCCTGCAGCTTTAAGTGCAGATTCTCCACAATAATGCAGGATCATATACTGCACATGACTGAATTGTTTGAAAAATTTGAGCGAGAGATCTTGCCACAACCTCCCGAAAGCCCTAATTTGAGTTCATCTACTTTGACTTACTTTCAAACAAACAAATTATCATTTGAAGTTGGTTAATGGTATTTACATTCAAAACTGAAAATGCCAACAAGAGTTCATTTTTCAGCATAGCCATGCTATCTGTTTCTGTTACCAAGTACATCTGAGAACTCAACAAAAATGGAGAGCTGGCAAAAATAGTGGGCATCCCAAAATGCTAGAAAGCCACAATTAACAAGCAGTAGGATTACATTGAAGGTTTATTCTAGAGGGTCTGCAGAGTTTAGCAAGTTTACCCAATTTCTGTTCTAATGTAATAAAATACTGTTCAATAATTTTTGACTCCCCCTCTGTATAAGGAACTCAATAGTTGATAATCAAGACAGTAAAGGCTGAGCCTGCTGCTCTGGGGATCCAGTCTGAATGATCAGGAACCTCAAATTTTTCACAGGTTATCTTGCCCAGATATGTTGGGTCCTCATTCTTCACCATAGTCACTCCCATTGTGAATCTGGCTGAACCCATAACAAGTATAATTAAAAGGTCCTTTTATCAATAGTAATCTCAGACAGAAAGTTTAAAGAAGGAAAAGTGCAAGTTGGACATAAAGTAAATGCCAAATTAATTTTTTATGCTTATCTTCAAATTACATATCTCTTTAAAAATTTATAGAAACTGAAAGTAGTGTTTCAATGTACAGAATTTGAAAATTCAAAAATGATTAAAAATTTTTCTGAGATATTTTGTAAGAATTGATTATTTTTATATGGAAATGTTTTTTTAATAGTGATTAAAGAAAGTAAATAATAAAGTTGTAATAAATATTTAACTCTAAATATAATCATATGCAACATTTTAAACATTAAAATGTATTTAATTTACAAAGGAAAATTTTTAAATTATTTTTAATTTACTAATTTATATCATTTATAAATAATATAAATTAGTAAATTAAAAATAATAATTTTAACCCTTTTAACCTTAAACTAATAAATATATAATTTGACAAAATATAATATGTACTGATTCATTTTTTTATAATTATGAAATATAAGTAGCTAACCTTTTGAGACAGATGATATAAATTATTTTTCAATATTTGAAAAACATTTAAAATTTTTCTATTTTTTCTTTGTAAATCATATCAGTATTTGAATAAATCTACTTTTTCAATAATTTAATTAATAATTTAATAAATAAATTCATTTAATAATTACCCTTTTCAAATTCCCCTAAAGTTTTCCAAGGAATATACTGAAGAGCACAGAACTGAATACTTAAACAATCAGGTGGCCAATGATCCAGAAAATTTATTGGTATTATGACTTTTTCCATCACATCAGCTAGTTTAATCTGAAAATAAATGTTATTTATTTGTGAATATAATTTAATATCTAGCTATAAATGATCACCTTATCAATGAATAAATTTTAATGATTTTTAATACAACAATTTATAATTTATTCTAACATATGTCTTCAAATCAGAATTAGAAAATTTTTTGTATCCTCTGTATTTTATATTTTTTGTATTTCATTAAATGTAAATACCATTAATCAACTTCAAATGATAATTTGTTTGTTTGATAAGACACATTAAGTTAGTAATTTATTTCTATAGATTAGATAAATTCTTATATGCTTACAGGGTGGTCTATTTTAATCCATGGAATAACTCAAAAAATATACATACTTTAGAAAAATTCATTACACCAAAATTGTAACAATTTAAAGAGGCCACAAGATAGTATGATTGGTTTCATCATAAATGGCATTACAATTGGTAAAAACTAGGTCACTTCATTTTCTTAAATGGAAACTTCCATTTTTTATTGCATGTAATGATTCTGCATTTAAAAAAATTATTTTAAATGTTTTTCTGAAAGATATACCTATAAGAAGTTATGATTAGTTTATGGCAATTCAATACATGGGCAATCTGCTGAGGAAATGTTTCCCGGGAGGGCTTTCTAAGGAAAACTAGCCCCTATTTACATGATACAAATGTGAAAAAACCTGAAAAATTCTACTTGGCCGGCCCATTGACAAAGCATGACAACCAAATACTAGTGTTCAATGGTTTTATCCACTTGGTCACTGGTGGACTTAAAAAGTTATGAGTATTTGGGGTTTACATGACTACCACAGCATGCATTTGTGAATATCTATGAAGTTCACTGAAAGAAACAAGAAAAATGCTAAACAGAACATTAGGAAACTATTATTTGGTTGAATCAAGATTTCTTTATTACAAACTTGGTGGCTTTAACACATTGGCACAAGCATTTGTATCAGTTCATTATTCAAAGAAAAAGAATGATTCCACCAAATAACAGTTTCCTAATGATTTTTTAAAGCATTTTTCATCCTTTTTACAGTGAATTTCACAGATAGCTACAGATGTGCACGTGCACAATGTAGCAGCCATATAACTTCTAATATATGTATCTTTGAGAAAAATGTTTCAGATAAAAATTTGTTTAATTTTGTGTAAAATCATAATATGCAATAAAAAAATGAAAATTTTTGTTTAAGTGAAGTTGATCTGTTTTTATCAATTGTAGCAGCATCTATGACAAAACTGATTATGCCATTTTGTAGCCCCCTTAAAGTCTAACAATTTTGGTGTACAGAATTTTTCTGTAGAATGGGTAGTTTTTGAGTTATTCAGTATACTGATTAAAATGGACCATCCTGTATATTCAATAAGAAAATAACTGAAATATAATATTTCTTCTATATTAAGAATTAGGAAGTTTGTATTTGAACTGTAAGTTAATGTTTCATTGTTCTAAACTAATAAAAATATTGGAAAAATTAATATTTAAATCAAATTTTTTAAAATTGTAATTCCTCATCAAAATATATGAAATTTTTTACACACATTATGGACCTTCCATAATGTGCCTTAAAAATTTCATATTAGCAATAATTATGACCATTAACAATATTCATATTTACAAAAACCTTCAAGAAACTTCATATGTTTAAACCTTAAATAATAAATTTTCAAAAATAATATATACTGTAAAAATATAACCTGCTCTTTATTTATCCAAAATTTTTATTATAAGAAATATTTTGGCTTATCTTAAACTAAAAAAGCAGTTTATATTTCTATTTATTACAATAAGGTGTCAAGATTTACTCAGTTTAAATACTGTATAAATTATTATTTAAAAATAATTTTGTAATAATTTTGAATTAAAATATACAAGGTCATACACATAATATACATTTCAGAATTAATTTATTATGTGAAATATCTCTGTATAAAATGAAAAGATGAGCATGAAACATAAAACAGAATAATCCTTAATTTCATGATGAACCAGTTGACCAAGATATGTTCTACATTACTTGTTATTCAAATGTGACTGTGCAAACAAGAGATATTGAACAAATGTTCAGTTCCAAGCAAATCACCTTTTATCATCAAATAATGTAATGTTAAAAACAAAAACAAAATTTAAAGTACTTCTCTATTAGTCCATCTTGTAAGTCCATACTGAGGAGTAATTAATGGCACAAAAATTTCACAACTTCCAACAGCATCATTGAGTTTATCTTGCCAATCATTTCCAGCTTGTATTTCATCAATATCCTGTATAAAATAAAATACAATTTTATATATAACTAATTTGTCACATAAATAATTTTTAAGTGTATTATAAATAAATATGACAATTGTCTAAGTAATATCATTTAGACAGATCTTAAAAGTAAAAGCACATTTTAAAAATCTTATATTATTTTGAGATATAATCTTGTGATAATAATAATATGCACAAAATGTACTATGACAGAGCCAAAATCACATATAAAACAATTTACAACAACAAACATCACACTCATTGACAAACACAATAAAATCACATATATTATAGACATATCCATTCCAAACACTCACAATATACAAAACACATGCAGTGAAAAAATTTGCAAGTAAAGTACACAGAACATGCCCAGGAAATAAGGTATGTGTGGAGGATGGATAAGGTGCTTATTGTACCTGTCATTCTCTCTTCTACAGGTGTCATACCACACACACTACACAAAAACCTGGGAACATTACAACTGAATAGAAACACATACATCACACTACAGAAGGCCACTATATTGAATAAATGTCATATTGTTAGGTAATTCGTGAATACAGACACACACACACTGATACATTTATTTTTGTTTTGTTTTGGTTGCTATGTCTTGACTCTAGTCCAGCATAGTACACTGCAACTGGTGTCATCCAATTATAATCCACTAAACCCAGCATAATAATACTAATAATAATAATAAACAAATTTTATTGCATGCATAAAAATCAAAACAATATGGCATATGTTCATTTAGGGTTAAAAAAAACTATACAGTTATACCTCGCCTTACGTCGGTAATTGGTTCCAGGAAAACGACGTAAGTCGAAAAACGACGTAAGTCGAATTTACCTGTCTCCGAATCTACTTATCACTAGGAAAGCATTTTAAATAATATATGGTTAATAAAAATCTATTTTAAGCTTACAAACAAATAAATTTTAGTTTTTAATATAGTACAAAAAAAATAATCTAAATTTACGAATGCGTGTACTGTAAATACAGTACATACTTGTATATATTTTAATATGATTTTATGTGCTTTAAACGTTTATCTAGTGATATTACGACTTCAATATTTGTGGCGGACAGACGTAAAGTCGAATAAAATGACTTAAACTTGATTTTTATT